AAAAAAAAAATGCATTAAAACAATGACTTGTTTAGAGAAAAAAAAAAGTTCACGGTAGTCATTTTTTACTAAATTTTCTCAATAGAGATCAATAGATTTCAGTAGAGAATAATAAATTGTATGACAATAAGCCATTTAAATTATGTTCGGAAGACACTTGAAATCCCTTGATATGATTATCAGTAATAATCAGTAAAAGCATTTACTCTACCCTAGAATCACCAATGAAAAAGAGTGCTAAGCCAATCATTAAATAACATATAAACGTTTATAAAAATAAATAAATAAAAAAAACCTTATACAAACCTTAATGTTTCCCTGTCGTTTCGAATCCAATTCCCGACGTTCAATAAGTTTATTATTTACTAATTTATTGACTTTTTGCAACAACGATGAATCGGAAGTAAACATTCCGCCAAGATCCAAACCCATTGTAGTTAGCATCGCAAGAGTTTCACGCTCGCTTACGCCCCCTTCTACAGCATCATCACTTGGTTCACGCAAAGGCAAAGGTGGAGTGCGAGATCGACTTCCCTAAAAATTTTAAAGTTGTCGGAAAACTCTTTTCAGATACTTATATACTTTCCACTTATATTTGATAATCGTTGAATTAAAAAGCAACAACTGAGTAAAAAGTTAACAGAGTCTAGAAAATTGAACTGAAAAAAAAAAGTTATCTATTTAAACTGAAACTTATCTATTCAAACAATAATTTATCTCAAATCAAAAGATTCTCTTTGCATTATTTTTGAAAATATATATATATATATTCTGCAACATACAGATAATGGAGTATGCGATTCCATTATTTTTCGCTTCTCACCACGACCAGGGATGCGACTATATATCGAGAAATCCGCTTGATCGCCCTTTACACTTTTTTCTACGACCACAACGTCTGTTTCTACAAAATATTCTTACTGATATTCATAATTTCATTTCAAATGTAACAATTTAAAACATTTATTTCTTGATATGATTTTTCTCACTTCCAGACTTGTTTTGTTGACTTTGTTGTTCCTTAGAGAACAATATTTTTTTTTTTTAAACATCATAAAAGAAGTACCAGATTTACTGAAAATTCAACCATTCACAATCAACTGTTCTGGAAATGACAGAACTGAGTTTATGGCACAACTAATTGGAGTTCTCGAAAAAATGATGACACCTATAAAGCTAAAAAAAGAAAAAGAAACCGAGTCCATGAACATCCCGGCAATACTCCAACCATGGTCGTAACTTTGCTGTATCAAATATTTCATGACTTTTCCATAAATTCAAAACTCGAACCACTTTCAACTATAAAAATTATCGTGAATATGAAACAGAATAGAATAATTTTATGAAATGTTTAATCAATTGATATTAACAAAAACTGTAACTTACAATATTACATATAAAAAAGCCTAATGACAGAGATTATAAAAAACAAGCAATTATATATAGCTGACGCCTTATCTCAGATGGAAATGACTAAAAAATTAGAATACCTTTTCATCAGCTTTACAGTTCAACAGATTTGAAAGAGTTGCTTGCATATTGATTGCAAAACGTGGACCAAAAACATCTTTATCTTTGAACTGATGACGCGATTGTCGTATTATAGAATCGATACAATACAGACCAGGTACCTTATATTCTGCTTTGCACTGAAAATAGAAACAGAGACAGGTAAATAACAAAGAAATTAAGAAATATTACTTTACCCACACATCAAACAATTCACATTTATGAAATCCACCTTACTACATCAAGAAAGTATCGTTCGAATTCCGCATTCATTTTACATCTTTTTAATATATCGAACGTTATCAAAATAACAACTGTATCTTTAAAAAATCTTTTTAAAAAAAATCTATCTTTAAAAAAACAAGTATGTGCCGTCTTTTCGTTTTCATTAAAACCACTAAATAATAAACCTTATCATCTTTATTAAAAATTTTAAATTCTATTACCTTCATTAAGAATTTTTCAACTCCGAACACAACATGTTTGTAATATTTAATAGCTTTCATTGCTGCTTTTGTGATATCCACAATCTTTTTCTTACTTATCGGTGGCCGTAATTCGTACAAAGATACCAACTGAAAGGCTATTATAAAACTGTCAGTTCAGACTTGTTACATCTTTTGCTAAGGTATATATATATATACCAATAAATTATAATTTAAGGATTTAACAATATCACCAGTTCATTTTTTGCATATAAATGATTTTAGAAAAGCATAAATTTTGGGATGCCTATACGATTCATCTTGGCATAATGCAGTATGTTTTGTCTTCGCATCGTGAAAAGTTACATCCTATGTCAGCAATATGAGCGACAAATCATTCACAGGTATCACTTATGTTGTAAATACAGATTCGTTTTGGTATCAATAGCTCTTTTAAAATACGAAATAATACCATAAAAACATTATACCTCAGCATTAAATGCTCTTACAACCTCTGTCTCCATTGTTCATCCACTCTTCTCCCAGTTTAAGTTAATAAATTTAAATATTCATTAAAACTACCACTTCCAAACCAATGTTTCTGATAGATATAATTGTTCTCCCTGAAATTATGCACTAAATTTATTTCTAAGCATTCATTTTAATGCACTGCAAACCAAATCTATAATACCATCCACAGATAAATGATGAAACTTATGACTGCTGATTAAAAATAAATTGGTCATAACACAAATTTTGGGGAAAAAATTTCAAGCAACCCTGTAGCGGAAAATTAATAAGACCTAACAAGAAGTCATAGCCACCAAAATAAGAAATAAAAAAAAAAATAAACAAATATAAATAATTCGTTGCCCTGCAATAAGTTGTACGGTGCACCATCAAACCATGAAATAAGCCTTATTTCAGACCAAACTAGGATCTGTGTGAAAATTGATCAAATCATTGTACAATAGTTTCGAATTGAAATCAAATAGATTGCTCTTTCAGGGATATTTTACATTAGTAACTACCAAAAACTTTTCATTCAGAAGCAATTTTGGAAGGGATTATTCGGCGTAATTTTGGGACGTCTAACCAAAAAGTCTTTCTTTATACATTATTTGACGTGGTCCTTACTGTGTTAGAAGCATTTAGCATAGATTTTATTTGATATAGTAGATATTTGACAGAGTATTTGGCATAGACATAGTTTGATATATTCATTTGATATAGTAACTATAGAAAAGCTTTCCTGTATTAGAAACATTTATTTACGTCTAAACAAAACTTTTTTATATACATGGTATGATTTTTGATGTTGTTTGAAACATTAGATGAGAATGATTTGAACTGAATTTAAATTAGAATGATATGAAATACACTATTTTAATATATATATCACACATTTTTGCGTAAAACAATAACAGAGTACACTAATTTGCATATATATAATATCTGTTTTTCCAGTAAGTCCATCCGTATAATATTCATACAATAATACACATAGTATTACATTATATATATATATAATGATTAACTAAATTACTGTATTAATTTCCATCGGATCACTGTACCACCAATCTGTAATATGACTGTATTACAACGACATACCGTATTTTCCAGTGGTATAATAAATTCTACCATACAAGTAATAAATATTGAATTACTGTATGTTGGCGTGTTGAATTAATGTAACAAATTAATAATGACTACTGCATGCTTAGTATGATGGATTACTGTAATAAATCAACAACTACTGTATGACCAGTACAATGGTCTACTGTAATAAATTGATAATTACTGTACATGTCTAGCATGATGGATTACCGTAATAAATTAATTATGATTACTGTATACTTAGTACGGTGAACTCATACATATAAACCATACACATATATATCACAAGTAATATGGTGTATTCAGTATTCATTACGGTATTGAGCTATTTTTAAACATTTAATAGTGTAAGTTAAGAAACTCGCTTAGAAAATGTATTATATTAAAACATCATGTTAATTCGATGTTTTCAAATGTTTTATCATATCACTTTAATCAATTACATATTGTTCATCAATAGAAGTAAATTATTAGCTGATAATATAGTTTTTATAGATACGTTCTAATAACAAGAAATTTTGGATTCAGTACTCAAATTTGTTTATTCAACTGTTTCCATGTTGTTTGTTTATTTATTTGCTTGCGTATTTGTACGTGTATGCTTACGCTTATGTGAGCTGTGCACATATATATGTATGAATGCATCAAGTGTGTATACAGATGTTTATTTCTTTCTGAATATTCATAACTCAGATATTTTTGGAACAACTTTAAAACTCAAATTTCTTAGCTAAAAATTCGAATATCATAGCCAATAAAAAATTTAAAACACATTCATAATAGATTTGCTCTTGCCTCTTAAAATGCAATTTCTGGAATGCTGCAATTATGCAAAACGGTGAGAAATAATTTTATATGCATTATATGTCAGCCTGATTTACATAATTGACGATTTTTGCGTGTATGCATGTATATGCATGCTTATGCCAAAATGAACACACGTAAAATAATACGTCAAATATGATGAACATAGATAAAACAATACGTCAAATCATAAAATGAATTATAAAGTATGGTTTAATACTTCTTTTTTGAAACAATGAGTCCATTTAAGTGGAACATTTTAATTGGTACCGCAATGGTTTTATAACAGAAATGTGAAAAGTGTTTATTTCATCTTCGGTCAATGATTATAATCTTTAATATTACCAATCGTTTCTTTTCTTCTTGTTTAACACTTTCTCTAGTTCCTCTGATGATTCATCAGGTTGTCGGGTAGTATTTGTTACCAATGGAAGTTCCCCAAAGAATTATTTCGGGGAAAAAGTGAAATGTGTAATAACATTCTTGAAAAAAGGTACATGCAAGGGATTTGTGTTACATCACAACAGACTTCGATAGCAACGAGAGAGTATTGTCTGCATCTCTATCACAAACAACTCATTGTTTAATGCATTCATTCGTCTGTTTAATATATTGGATGGTTTTGATATCCACAAGTCTGGTAGTGTGGTGATAAGGTGACAAAAGGAGTAACGCACGGGTATTTAATTACCCAATGATATTTCTCCTGGGAAGGTCTGAGATTAGGTCCCAACCGGATTTGGTTGGTTGTATCCTCTAGCAGGGGAACGATGCAAGCCGTCGTGGTGCCGTACCAGAAACTTCCCCTTGGTACCAATCGCCCTAGAAGTACAAGACGGTTTTACCTAGTGCTAGGGAGAACCTGATACGATCGTGGTGATGGTACTGAGTTTGAACCACGGTGCCGGTACTAGCTGCGCTGAGTGCGATTGTCACCCACATATATGAACTCAATTCAGACTACTCTATCGCCACACCCCTGACTTTTCGAAACTTTATCGGTTTTTGAATCACTTATCAGGTTGTCTTCTTCCTATCTACTTCAACTTGAGAATAAGGTATTTTACCTGTTTTCCTTTTTTTTAAAAAAAAGGCTGATAACGTTTTGAATCAATTCACCCTTATTTATGAATTTAGTGATCAGTTCAAATTTCATGGAATCATTGCTAGAATATTAGAAGCAAATAAAAGCTTATTTGCGCAGCACAATACATATTTCCCATCATTTTAACTCTTTATAATCTCATCCTTATTTTATTAAGCGAATAAAATATACGCGCCATCGCTTATACTTTTCTTTTCTGTAATAAATATGCTAAAGTTTTATATTCTACTCAGTTGTGCTAAATGAAAAAACTATTTTATATCGTCGATTTTCTAACACAAAATTATTTACAAACTGGTCATCGATTATTTCTTACTAAGATCATAAACACACGCACATACACACATATATAAACATATAGCAGAACAGAGAGAAAGGTATAACTTACTTACATTAGGAAAACATTTAAAATTGCATTTAAAAAAAGGTAACACACATGAAAATAATTGGCATAAAAAATGGATAAAATAATATATGACTGAAAAATATAGTAATGAGGACAATGGAATAAAAAAAAAAATTGATAATTGTGAATCTTTCCAATATACATCTTAAGTAGAAACCGCATAGTGCAATAAACTTCATGCTCTGATATAATATACTCTGATATAATATAGCTTAACAAATATATGCATATATATATAGAAAAAAAAATTAAGCAAACAGAAATCAGAAAAGAGAGAGAGAGAGAGAGATCGAACAACTTATTTCTTTAAAATACTAGTAAACAAACGCATTTATCAAATAAAAACAGCAATACAACTAAAAAAATTTGCTCAAATGCTCAAACAATGAGCATAGGAATTAAAATAAATGATAGACAAAATTAATACTGCTATTCATCGGATATTCAAAATGCAAGAATATTAAAGCAACACTAAACCGTAATATACAAAGCGAAAAATTATTACTCTATTTAAGCTGAAGTAATTTCAAATACAAACTAAAACTTTAAATTATTAGAAAACTGAATAAGAATTAAATAAGCAATAATAACTCCTCACTTCATTAAATGACCTGTTTTCAGACAATCAATAAAACGAATTTAATACAAAAATTTAATACAAAAAGACAATCAATAAAACGAATTTGATGCATTGGAGGATAATTTTTTTCTATAAAGTGCTTAATATTTAATACAGATAAAATATTTAATATACAAAATTTGACAGTTCATGGATGCAACAGTTTAAATTTCAAATTTACACGAAAAGTTGAATAATAATATTACTTTAACGAAGTGATATCAAAAAAAGAAAAAAAAAAAATTATCCTCCAGTGCATAACATACAATGACGGAATAAGTAAATGAGTAAATTTGCGGTGTATAATATTTAAATGTTAATTCATATAATAATGATATACTGCCAAATTAAAACAACAACTTACTCATCAAAATAAGTTTCAATTTTATACCATAAGTAGCACTAACTTAGAAATTATAATAAGGCTTAAAACCATAAATTAGAATGAAATATGTGAGCTATTATCCTATGTGAACTGAAAAATTATGAATAGACAACAAAAAAGATAAGTAAATACTGTATTATTTGTAAAAGGCAATATAAACAGGTCATATAAATCAGTGATGAAGAGATTAAGTATAAAAATTGTAAACATAGAAAAAAAAAAGTAAATTTTAACATTTAATTCATTTCGTTTACATTTTCTAGCACCGTCATCGCTTCCTCACCACCATCAAATGTTGATTGTACCGAAATTTTGCGTATCATATCCTGCACGTTTGTGGTAGGCACTGAAAAAAAAGATATAATGAAAGATAGTTATAGCAATTTATATTTTTATTTATAATGAAAGTTAGAGTAAGAATAAAGAAAGTATAAAAAAGAAAAAAAAAAGAAAAGTGATAAAATGGCAATAATTTATCTGCTCAAAATATGATCAAAAAGATGATTATGGTAAGGACCACTGAATAAATTATTATTGTTTTTATTTATATCATTAAATAATAACAACTGGTATGAACATTTAATAGTTCATAAAAAAATAAATATAATTTTACAGTTTCTAGTGTATATCTTTAGTTGACAGTTAATTAAACGGTTATTAATGTTCAATGAAACAATGGTAATAAAATTGTAGTTTAAGTGGTGCTAATGCAATAATATTTTCCTGTACAATAAATTTTTTCAGCCTTTTTTTTTTTTTTTTCAACATTTAAAACACACGGAAAACTAACCGAAACCACGTCCCTGTAAGAATAAAATAATTGCTTGCGCCACACCTTCCGGTTTGTCATCCAAAACAAGCCCTCCTGATCCCGAAAGCTAAAAAAGTTAATCATAAATCAACACACGAATAGTTAAAAAAAGAAGTACTGGAAAATGTATTGAAATGACAACTGCACTACATTTAAGATTACATCATATATATATATATATTTTTTTTTATTATTACAAATATATTCTTTCAAATTTCCTACAAATGATTCATTAACAGATAAATCCTATAACATTGAAAAACGCTATATAGGACAAAAATAACAATCAAAAAAAAAAAAAAAAAAACAAAAAACAAAAAATCATTGTAACATTAACCTTGAGCCATTCTGAGTCTGCCGGATTCAATCGAGCATTCAATTCTACCGAATCTTTAACAAATGCAGAGTCACCGCCTACAATTTGCAGAACAGGTACGTTTAATTTTGGACCCATAGTACCATCACGTGAAATAGATATTGGTGTTCGGCTGGAAAAAATTAAAACTTCACCAGGAGATTAGCAAAATACAAATATTAGCAAACTAAAAAACTAATATAATACAATTTTCCTTATTATCGAATATAATTTATTCTTTTCTAATATAATATATCTTCCTCTTATTTTATATTCATTAAATACATTAGATTATTTTTTAATTCTGATTTCAAATCATACTTTAGATAAGCTTCAATAAAAGCAGACAAATTCTTCGGATTTGGAAGATGCTGTAAATATGCACGATAACGACGAACAGTATCGGGAGGATTTAACGTGACGTGATTACCGAAATGATGCCACAACAAATAATCAACCGAAAAATTTGTCATCCCACGTGTGCGCAATGAACGTATATTAATCTAAAACAAGTTAGAATTAAAACTGATAATGAAATTTTACAAATTAACTGAAATTAATTGAAAAATGTTGCAAAAAAAAAAAAAAAAAAAAAGAAAGAAAAAAACAACGCAGATTTAATTTCTTGTCAAATGATACAATTGAATACATGAATAAATGGTCAATCACAACTAAAACTAATGAATATTATAAAAGTATAGTTATAAATTTAAACATTTCGTAGATTACAAATAACAAACTTGTTGATAGAACCATTCAACCCAACCTGCACTTGTTGCAACACAATTAATTAGTATTAATGCGTCCATTTTTGATTGATTTTGTAGCTAAAATATATCAAATAAATTTTATTAAAAAAAAGAACTAATAAACTCTAGGAATAGAAAAATCAATCAAATCAAAACTAATTCACAATAATGCATCTTTATGATAAATGAATAATTTATTCTTAAATATAACTTCATCAACTGGCTTCATATTCATAATAACTACTAATAAAACATGCTCAGAATGATCAAGCTTGAATGTAACTTCTAATCAACGAAAAAAACTAATACTTTAGAAGTTAGAAGTTATTATTTGAAAAATGAAAACATGAAAAAAAAAAAAAGATATTAAGTAAATATCCAAAACAAAAGTTAATAAAACTAACTGCATAGCGTAGCATGACATTAGCACCTACACCCACACCTAAACCAATAAATTCTCGAATTCTGCAAAATAACCATTTAAAAAGATTGATACAGCAAAACGTTATAAATATCCACAAGCAAACAATTTCTTCATATTAAAAAAGAATTCTACAACCAAAATAGTAAACATTATCACTTACTTGAATTGTTCCACACAATTATCAACAATCTGAACGAGACCATCCATTGTCGGATAAACATAGCTGAAAAAGTAACACTTTCAAAAAATTTCACATAAATTTAATTAAATATCAGCTTAATATTTGTAATCAATCTTATCTAGCTAGGTCAATGTTAGCTTAATTCTATAAATAATATTATTTGCGTTAAAAAAATGAATGCTATTATTTTTGATATTTCGATAAGTTAATAACATATAAAACAAATCAAGAGAAATATTTAGATGAAATCTATCAACAATAGAACAAGGGAAAATTTAATAAAGGTACGTGTATTGTAGTAGAATACTTTCTAAGTAAAACAATACAAGTTACCATCTTCAGCTAGATAGTTTGGCTACATTTAAAAAAGAACAAAAAAAAAAGAGAACCAAAAAAGAAATTAAGTAATAATACTTAAGTATGAGATGTAATTAATTAATTAGTTAATCAGAAGAAAAAACTAATTCCTATCAACGAATAAATAAGGATTAAATACATATTCGTATTTATTATAACTATCTAATCTGCTTTACTAGAAAATCTATAAACAAAAAAAAAAGTTTTTGTTTGCTAACTGATCCGGTAGTGGTGCAGCATCCATTTCTTGACCCGGAGCATTGATGTTATAGATGCAGAAATTTGATAGAAATTCCCCAGCCGTTGCATATTGAAAAAAATTTTGAAAACTTGTTTCTGCTAAAAAAAAAAAAAAAAACAATTTATTTAGTAATAATCTAAATGAATGAAATAAGAATAAAAAGAAAGAAACAAATAAATGGAAGAAAAAAAAAAATAGATTAAATCAAATATACCAAAGAAAATGTATTATAAGAATATTTATCATAAAATTTAACACCAAATTAAAACTATTCTTAATCGATCAGTAATAAACAACAATAATACCAATTTAATAACAATAAAATACTTACAATCTAGCGCCATATCATGAAATGTAACAATTGGATTTGATTGCCGATTTCCATAAATCGTTACCTTTACATTTCCATATGGTGTTGATACTTTCTCCTGGAAATAAATTGATTGGAAAATAAACAAAAATTTCATTCCTAACATTTATCTTTAAAATATCACATAAACTTTTTTTTTTTCTTTGAAATACCTATAAACATAAATATTAAAGAAAAGGGGAGAATAAGCAAATTAAAATCTTAGCCAATTTAATTACAAATTTGAATAAAAATTATATGAATAATAGAAAAGAAGTTTTATTAACATACATGTTGAAAATGATAAGTTATAATAGCTTTCGTAAAATTCAAAACTATCAGTTCCTCTCATGTTATGCATGTGTGTTTTAAAATAAAAGTTTAAAAACGAATGAAATTTGTAGCAAAACTGAAAATAAAAGATTGAAAATTGAAAGAAATAAGAAAGTGAAAAGCAAACTTCAAAATCAGGTCGATGATCCGATATTAAGGGTAATTCATCCTGAAAATATGCTCCCATTTCTGCAGCAGAGCACATGATACTTCGAACAAATAAAAAATTTTCAATTCCTGAAAATTTAGAACATCACTATCATTTATCATTTCAATTGATATCTTCGTTAACATTTATATGACAGCAATGCTAAAGCTCGTTGGAAATTATTCCGTATCATTTCAAAAAAAAAAAAAAAAAAGTAAATAAAAAGAATAAATAATAGATGAACAAAAAAAAAATTATGATTCAAGAAAAATGAAACTCTAAATATGTGTTAAAACAATTAATGTAAATTTAAAAAGAAAAGAGAATTTTTTAAATATGCAAATTTAATTTTAATTTACAAAATTTACCACTAATCTGTGCAAAAAAAAAAAAAAAAAAAAGTAAATGTAAATATATATTTCTATCCGTTTGATCATTAATAACAGTAAACAATAATTGTAATTAAAAAATAAAAATTATACCTATAAAACGATAATAAAATGAAATTTGCAACTGAAATATAAGAAATAATAGCAAACATTTTTACGGATTTAAAATGATTAAATTAATTAGTTAATCATTATACTGGCATAAGTGGAAGAGAATTAATTAATTTCACATATGTTAATTTATTATATATGGTAAATTTCTTTAATTCCATATATAAAGAGAGAGAGAGAGAGAAAGATGGGGAGACAAAGAGAGAGAGAGAGAGGGAGAGGAAGAAATGAATGTAAATGAGTGAATGCACAGAGAAAAGAAGATGAATGAGAGGGAGAAATTGAAAATGATCGATGCATGAAATGGAAATGAATTGAAATGAAATTAAATTTCGTAAATGAATTTGATCAAAGTAAGTGGTTGCATTGAAATTGAATGCTACCACATTAATAGCAATCAATTTCTTAAAAAGAAAAACGAAAAATATCCAATAGCTCTCAAAATAAAATATTTTGTGAATCATAACAGCACAAAGAAATAGTGTGCCTATGGAAGAGAGCTTAGAGATTGATGAAATGTGAGAAATGTTTGCGATCAGAGATTAAGAGTAAATAGATGAAATAATTTATGAAGAAGGGAAGCAAAAGAATGATAAGAAGATGGAAAGAATTTTTTATGTAAAAAAAAGAAAGAAAAAAAAGTAGAAATGTTAGTATAAACAAAAAGAAAAAACAGAAATGTTTTTAGAAAGTACAAGAGTTTGTTGTTAATTATTTAATTGAAGTGATGAGAAAAGACTGAGAGTGAAAATAAAGAGATGAGAAAAGACTGAGAGTGAAAATAAAGAGATGAGAAAAGATTGAGAGTGAAAATAAAGAGATGAGAAAAGACTGAGAGTGAAAAAAAAAAAAAAAAAAAAAAAAAAAAAAGAGATGAAAAAAAAGATGAGAAAAGATGAGAGTGAAAATAAAGAGATGAGAAAAGATGAGAGTGAAAATAAAGAGATGAGAAAAGATTGAGAGTGAAAATAAAGAGATGAGAAAAGATTGAGAGTGAAAATAAAGAGATGAGAAAAGATTGAGAGTGAAAATAAAGAGATGAGAAAAGATTGAGAGTGAAAATAAAGAGATGAGAAAAGATTGAGAGTGAAAATAAAGAGATGAGAAAAGATTGAGAGTGAAAATAAAGAGATGAGAAAAGATTGAGAGTGAAAATAAAGAGATGAGAAAAGATTGAGAGTGAAAATAAAGAGATGAGAAAAGATTGAGAGTGAAAATAAAGAGATGAGAAAAGATTGAGAGTGAAAATAAAGAGATGAGAAAAGATTGAGAGTGAAAATAAAGAGATGAGAAAAGATGAGAGTGAAAATAAAGAGATGAGAAAAGATTGAGAGTGAAAATAAAGAGATGAGAAAAGATGAGAGTGAAAATAAAGAGATGAGAAAAGACTGAGAGTGAAAATAAAGAGATGAGAAAAGACTGAGAGTGAAAATAAAGAGATGAGAAAAGATTGAGAGTGAAAATAAAGAGATGAGAAAAGATTGAGAGTGAAAATAAAGAGATGAGAAAAGATTGAGAGTGAAAATAAAGAGATGAGAAAAGATTGAGAGTGAAAATAAAGAGATGAGAAAAGATTGAGAGTGAAAATAAAGAGATGAGAAAAGATTGAGAGTGAAAATAAAGAGATGAGAAAAGATTGAGAGTGAAAATAAAGAGATGAGAAAAGACTGAGAGTGAAAATAAAGAGATGAGAGAGTGAAAATAAAGAGATGAGAAAAGACTGAGAGTGAAAATAAAGAGATGAGAAAAGATTGAGAGTGAAAATAAAGAGATGAGAAAAGATTGAGAGTGAAAATAAAGAGATGAGAAAAGATTGAGAGTGAAAATAAAGATATTTTCTCATTTTCAACTTTTTTTCTCTTTCATAAAACGTATTAAATTTTAATATATCATAAAAATATTTGAATGTTTATTTGTTTCCCTCAATTAAGTGATTTTCTTTTTTTTTTTTTTTTTTTTGCTTCCGTACGTATTATTGTTTAAATAATCATTTACGATCATTTCTGCAATTTTTGAAATTTCAAAAAAAAAAAAAAAAAAAGGAAAGCTCTTAAAAAAATGCTATATATGACAAATATTTGTAAAACTTTTCTTGAATTCCATTTATTTCAAAAAAGAAAAAAAAGAAGGAAAAAGTTTGTAATTGATCACAATATGTTAAGATTAAAATATGAAAAAACACTTATACATTTTCATTTATTCTCAAATGCAAAATGTTACAAATTGCAATATTAATAGATTATTCAAAAAAAAAAAAAGAAAAAGGGTTACATGAATTACCCAAAAAAAAGAACAAGTTATGGGTTAATTTATGCAAAATATATATATAAATAAATAATAAAGAATGATGACATATCAGTAATATTTTATCTTCATCAAAACAAATGAAGAATTAAATTAATTAACTACTTAACCCTAATTTATCAAAGTTAATTATGGATAAGAAGAATTAAACAAATAAAAAATTATCATCAAAATTAAAAAAAAACAAAAATTATTCAAAATGGTACGTATAATTTCACGTATTATAAATACAAAGATCACATGATGAAATGAAATAATAATCCAAAGCGATGAGAAATTTTTAGCTTAATAAAATGCTCAAAAAACAAAAACCAATCATTCACAATAACATTTCTTCTTTACCTCCATCTTCTCCTTCTATCATTCTTTTATAATGTTTATAATAATGATAAATTAGTAATACTTTAATCTTTACCCTCTAACTTTACCATTTCCCGATAATCTTATCTTTACTCTCTAACTTTATCTTCCCCGATAACTTCATCGTTAACCTCTAACTTTTTACCCTTCTCGATAATGACACAATCTCCTTCAGCGATTATCTCTCACTTTCGATCGATAAACTTAACAAAGCAAACATGCTTAAAGGAAGAAATTGATAGATTTATTAAAGTACGCCTAGCACTTACTTCAGCATGTCGTTGCCGAATACAAATTTCATTTGACAGCGCAAAAATGAATTATTTAATTTTCTCAGTAATGTAAATATGCATGTATACATATTTGCTTATCATCGATAGATTATATTACTATCATTTATGTAATTATTAATTGATGTTTACAACTAGTTGCGCATAAAATTGAATAAATACCGGAAAATTGAAAATTGTATACCGGATAGAGAAATGTTTACAAATTAACTCAGACTCGGTGAACAAAGATTAATTCAATCAATTAATTATGCTAGTGATTATTTTTTCGCCGGAAAATTGAAAATTGTATACCGGATAGAGAAATGTTTACAAATTAACTCAGTCTTAGTGAACAAAGATTAATTCAATCAATTAATTATGTTAGTGATAATTTTTTCACCGGAAAATTGCATACGGAAAATTGAAAATTATATACCGGATAGAGAAATGTTTACAAATTAACTCAATGAGAATTGTATTCAAAAATTAGTTCAATCAATTAATTATGCTAATAATTTTCTTTTTAGCATTAATTAATTTTTTGCATGCGTTTCAGTTCTCGGACACACTTATATATATGTTTCAAAATTTGAAATATTTTAATTTAGAAATTGAATATTGTGAAAATGATAATTATAATAACTTATTAATAACGAAATTATTATCATTATGCATAATATTTTACTTTTTTTTCCTCAAAATTTTCTTTATTTTTAATTCCTTTTTTTTTTCAGTTAGATAAGAAAAAAATCATAACCAAATTATTCAGTATTTTCCATCAACAATTGTGGTTTAAAAAAAAAAAAAAAAAACAGTAATTAAATTTTGATTAAAATTATTTAAAACTTATGAAATGAATTATTACAAAAAAAAAAGAGAAAGTTCAAATTTAAAACTGAAGCTGAAAATTTTTGAATGAAAATTTAAAAAATGAAAAAATTTGATAAATGCATAAATAATTTAAATTTTATTATTCATTAATTATGTACATTTAATTATATTTATCAATTATAAATGAAATATTTAATGAGAACAAAGAACAAAAATAAAAAACGAAAAAACAAAAAAACGAAGGAATGTGTTAAAAGCCAAATTTCATAAATATTTATAAATTGTTAAAACGTAGTAAACAGATTGAATAAAATTTTGCTCAAATTTTTTTTTGATAAAATAAAAAAGGAAAAGAAAAAAACGCCAATAATATTTTCCAATTGTTTATATCTTTTTTTTTTTTTTCTTCTTTTTAAATATTTCATCTATGATTGATAAATGATTAAATTTGATTATTTGTTGTTTTTCATTTTCAAAACTTCATTTTTCTTTTTTTCTTTCAATTTTTTTTTTTTTTTTTTTTTTTTAAAAAAAAAAAAAAAAAAAAAAAAAAAAAAAACAAAATTTCAAAGATACAAAAGAAATGAAACCAAAATGATTGTTAAAATTGAAAAAAGATGCATTAAATGAAAATTTATTTTCTTATTTCTCATTAAACACATTTTTTGTATTTTATCCTAAAATTATCGAAATAGCGCGGATTTAATGAGTTTTGTTAATGATAAAAAATCATTTACCAATAATAAAAGCAAAGAAAAGAAAAAATAAATTTTGTTTTTTGAGAATTTCT